GGTATGTGGGCACAAAGAAGAAGCAGAAGGAGGGAGGTATGTGGGCACGAAGAAGAAACAGAAGAACAACTGCGCGCCTTGGAGTCTAGGTATCATAGGACATTCAACGTCGGTTATTAAAAAACCCGATGTGGATAATGCTTTCGACGTCGGATAAATCATGGAACCGACGTTGATTTTGGGATTTCAACGTCGGTTATACATAACCGACGTTAAATTTAAACATTTAACGTCGTCTGTCATCTAACTGACGTTATTTGTCCGTTACTACGTCGGATTTTTTATAACCGACGTTAAATATTGTTTCTTAATTACAAGTTTGCCACCGCGTCTTGTACAACGTCGGTCTTCATAAAAACCGACGTTGGATGCTGTCATAGTAAGGGTTTTCTGTAGTAGTGTATATAAGACTTACGATTGAATAAACATGATTAAACAGTAAAACAACTTTTGAATCATGTTTCCATTTATTGTTTGTCTGATCCTTGAAAAGGGAGGTTTAAAATTTGAAATATACAAGAATCATGATTCATACATGTGGACCCTGAATTTGATGCAAGGCTGAAGGGTTGAGTGTAGAGAGGGAAGAACAGAATAAAATCTTATCCAGTTGAGAGGTTGGAAAGTACAAGGTCTGTTTCTGCGTCAACTCGATGTGGCATATGGGCACGTAAATATTCTTATAGAGGGGTGTTGTGGTGTAATAGGAGTATTGGGATGGCAGTGAGGGCTAGCAATAGAGCATGAAAAGGTGAAAAGATGAGAGCCAGTTGGAAGGCAGAAAGGAGACAGAAGCTGCAGAATTTTGTGAATAGCAGCAAACTGGAATTTGGCTCACTCACTCACCTTTAACATTTCACTTTCACATGACCCTAATCTACATCTCAAGTCCCCTACAATGGCAACTAAAGTTTTAAAATATGTGATTGCTATCATCATATAGTATGGTTTTGGACTTAACAGAGTTGATGAGTTTGTTGTTGACCTTCTAAAAAGGAGAGTCAAATGGGGAATAATGCATGGTGGCTGCTCCATAAATACATGTTTGTATAGTTCTGTGTATATAAAAATATATATGAGAAGCAGTCACAGTTGGATCTGTGTCATTGCTTGTAGTTGGTGAGTAGGATTCAAAGCATTGTTGTGCAGGTTATGCAGAATCAACCAAAGTGGCCGCACAACGCAAAACCCTCTTCTCTCACGCGTCCATTTTGGGAATTGAGTCATTCCATCTTTACCAACCAATTCCTCACCATTTTATGTTTCCTTGTTTCTACCAACGTTTTACTTTGCTCCCTCTCATTCATTGACCTCGTTAACTAGTTTTCTCCTTTACTCACAACAAAATTGATTTTTTTCTAGATCCAATATTTCTTTTTCGTTTTATATATATACATGTTATGATATCGATTTTAGACAAGTCCATTATGATCATTGCATAAAAAACATAATTGTTATCTTTCTTATTTTCTTTCAAATCAAATCAACTTTGAATACTTACATATATTTTTCATTCATATATTTCTCTCTTTCATTTAATTTAATTATACCCTCACTCTTCATTTCCCATTCTTTCATTTCTTATCAGTCCATCCAAGCAATATCTTATAAATTATTGGAAGAAAAAAAAAAAGAGAGACACATTATTGTACCAAAAGAATGGTCCATATTGTCTCCAAAACTATATTAAATATTGAATTTAATCAAATTCAAAGCTCAAATTAATAATAAAATATTTTGCATAGAAAGAGCTATCGTGCCAAGTTGCGCTAACTATTTTACAATATTTCTAATTTTTTAGCCATCCTAACTCTGAAATGTAAATAAACTAATTTATTAATTACTACGAAAATGGATTAGCTTTTTGTTGAATATGATAGATACAATAATTTTTCTTTTGTGATGAGCTATGACCGACTAAAGATAATAGATTAATAAAATGTGAAGCATCTTTTTTAATTGTGTGGTTATATGTTATCAGGTGAAATAATGCATATTTTTTATTCATCCTTTTAAATTATTGGTTATGCAATTCAAGTCGTAATTGATTTCATCCCGAGGCAAAAGTAGTGCAAAAATAATGTGGAACAGATGTCTAATAAATAATGGAGGAGTTGAACTTGACATAGCACGCAGAACTGGAATTTGACTAATTAAAAGGTGCTCTCCCTCAGATTCTTCCAAGTCATGTCAACAGAATCGCATTATTCTCAGTGTGCATATGCGGGTATTACCCAGGGATGCCAATAGCCGAAACGACCGTTACATCTCAAGCTTGTTAAAAATGAGAAAATAAATTAGATTGCTGGATCATAATCAACACTAAAAATGAGGTAGAATAGGGTGGTTAGTGATAGTTAAGATGAGTTACATATTTTAGTTTGTTTGATGAGTGGGTCATTTAATTAATATATATCTTTAATTATATAAAATAAATTTTAATCTTTTTATTTATTAATTAATATTTTTATTCAATAAATTAAAAAAATATTATATTTATATATTAAAATAATTAATAATTTAAATTTAATTAATTAATATTTATAATTTAAATTATAATATCATAATATATTTATATTTTTTAATTATATTTTTTATTTAATTTTTAATATATAAATATATTTTTAAAGCAAATCAGTTATCTGTTTCACTTGATTAACAAACCAAACACATTTTTAAGATGGATTAACATATCAATTTGTCAAACTAATCCGTTTACCATATTAATATTAACTTTAATTACTACCACGTATAACTTGTATAATTTTCTTGTGAAATCAGTATGTTTTAATAAATTAATAAAATCACGTCTAGTTAAACAGTAAACATTATTAAGTTATCATATTTTATATTTTTCCTACCAAATAGAGTTAATTTTTTGAAATAATAAATATGCATTATTACTGTAAAAGTCGCTCTCAATTTATTAAAAATATTGTTCGTATAACTTTAAGCTAATTATAATTATGATTAAAGTTTAAAAATTAATGTGCAATGTATTATTTATTCATTCATGAGAAAGTTTAATTTAACCCGAAACATACATCAAATATTTTAATCAAGATTTTAAATTTAAGTTGAATAGTAGCATCTGATACGTATTTGCTGGTAATAAGGTTGCCAGAATGTAATGCCTGTGTCGAAAATATCCTTTTTGGAACCCTAGTACTCCACTTGCTAACTTTATCAGTTATACTATTCCATAAACTACATCACCACTACACTCAAATCAACAAAAGTCTTATACTTTACCTCTCATATGGAATACAATTCACCAAAGTTTCTTATTTTATTTAGGTTAAGTAAAAATAAACTATATATTAAAACCCTCATCACTCTTCAAAGAACCTTGATTATATAAATATTCATCTTCACAATGATGGAAGGAACACGCTTTCATCTCATGTTAGCTTTCTGTCTTGCCAAGATCAAATTCATGCATGATGAAGACAAATTGTTCAAATGTGATAGTCAAGGATATACAGTATAGCGTTCAGGATTTATAGTTCTCATAAATTTTCATTTGATATAAATTAAATATTTTCATCACTGAGTATAGTTTGAAGCAACCATTAGTGCTGCTCAGTCTTTCATTTCTTCACCTAACCTGACTTAACAATGTAAAGTAAGTGGATATGGTAAATATCACGATCATAATTTTTTTTATATGAAAAAAGGAGAAAAATAGTTAAAAGTTTTATCCATTAATTACTGGTCAGCTACAAACTCAAAATCATACATAAAAAACATTCTAGACCAAAATGTATGAAACATCAAAACTAAAATTTTAAGAAAACATTAATTGCAAATCAAATCAATTCACATAATATTACGGAAGCTCATTTTTATAATTTAATCTAGCTATTATAATTAGGGTGGGAATGAGTATAGCTTTATCTCTAATCTCATCTATAAAGCAAGTACATGGAATAATTTGGTATGAAGTTATAGCTTTCAAATAGCAAATTGTATATATTCCCTATTCACATCAAGGATAAAACCAAAATATACATTTAAGTCTATTGTCAGCATTTGTTGTATTATATCTTATCTTCGTAATGTTATCTATGTGTATTAAAAAAACAAAACAAAGCCAAATTAATGGTATATGCATTTTTGGATAAGATTTTTCATAAGTTGTTTTTTAAAAGAAAAAAATAGTTTAAATTAAGATTAAGTTAAGTATAAGTTAAGTTAGTTTGTATTTTTATAAAATTTTTATTTTTAATTTATTGCATAAGTTAATTTTAATTATGAAGAAGCTAATTTAAATTCTTTCTTCGTTTAAAAACCTTTTTTTTTTTTTTGAGAGTCAAATTATATATTCAACCACTTAAAGCATACTAAGCAGTTTTTTAATGTAAAATTATAAAATAAACTAGTTATTTTTTTTTAGAAAGGAGTAGTAGGAATCTTAAGACAGAAGAACATGACATCTAGCCTTTTTTAGGGAGGAAAGAAAATAAAGGAAGTGGAAGAAAAAGTAGTAAAAAATAAATGAAAATAGAAATTGTTTAACAATTATTATTCTACCATACTTATAGTCATTCGGTAATTGATTCCTTGATTTTTACATTTTTTTTTAATTTATTTAACAATCAATTTATGTTGCCTTAAATATATATATATATATATATATATATATATATATATATATATATATATAAAATAATTCTTGGAAGGTTAACAAAAACATTGCATTGGCAATTGGACACCTGGATCCAACCAGATACCTATCATTTTACAATGTGGACCAACATTCTGGATAAGGCCCATAAACACGAGTTAAGGATGTCATATACACTCCTTCTTCATCAAAGACACATTTCACATTGCATGCATGTAACTAGCATAAGCAGTTATATAGTTTTTGTAGTTTGAAGTAAATCATATACAAATACATGAGTATGATTATGATTGTGTTTAATGACCAATAATACAATAATGAGTATATATATACTGTATAACTATAGGTAAACGTGTTTGTATACATTAGTGATTTATACAACATAACGACGAAGATAATCCAATCGAGCTGAATGCTTGAGCTTCATAAGAGCCTTCACTTCGTATTTTCTTACCATTTCCCTTGATATGTTCAAGTTCCCAGCAATTTCTCCCAAGGTTCTGTCACCCTTTCCATCCAGTCCAAATCTCTGTCTGATCACCAAACTCTCCTTCGGCTTCAGAGAATCAAGCTAGTACAAAATTTAAATCTCAGATTAGTTCACCATCATAATATCATGTAATGGAATCTTGGACACAGAATCAAGAGATTGAGTCGTTACCACATCATCAAGAGCAAGCCTTAGCAGAGCAGGTTGCTTCCTATTATCACCATTAACACCTTCATCATCAACCACCCCATTAATGAACTCCTCTTCTGTAGTTATATGCCTCGAGTTCAATGAAAGAATGGATTTTGATGCCTTCATTACGTCATGGTATCTTTCAGGGGATATTTTAACTCTTTCTATTATTTCTTCCTCTGTTGGTGACCTCTGAAGCTCAAACGTTAACTCGGTTTTAGCTTTTTGGATTTCTGCTCGAACCTGCTCCAAAAGATGTGGACGAGTTACACCAAGTTGAGACCCATCTTCGGTTAAAATCCAGTATCTGTTATACCATTTTTTTTTCTTGATATTCTACTTTATTTTAAATCCAAACCTCTCTAAATATATTGTCTAAATAAAACAATCCAGGATTATAAGCAACCACAACAAAATGGTTGATTCGGAATTACAACTTGTTGACATTTGAAAACAAAGTATGATGCTATCTAAGATGAAAATAAAACTAAAGAAATAAAAGCCATTGAGCCTTATGAATAGTGAGAATGCATACCGATTCAAGCCCAAAGGGAACACGTACGAAGCTTGAGAGGGTCATCGAACGAATGATAGCATGTCTTATCCAAAATAGACTGTATGTTGATAGCCGAAATCTTCTGTTTGGCTCAAAACGATCGATTGCTGTCATAAGTCCCTTAACTCCTGCCTGACAAAGATCTTGAAACCTAGAGCCACTTGCAAAATCTGTAAAATATTTGTTGATCACGAACAAGACAAGCCGGAGATTGTGCTGCAAGATATGATCACAGTTGCTTAAAACTTGCTCCTTCCAAATAATACAACCAACTGACAGTAATTTAATCTTCATTCGTTGAAATTTGTCAAAAAATTAAGTTAACACTAGGAATTACCTTTATGAGTTTGTTTCTTGCAGCTTGACCAACCTCCAATGCTTTCTTTACATGAGCAATGCTCATGTTTGTTGCATCGGCTAGTTCAAAATCCGCAGGTTCTCTTGCTAGCTCCTTCTGTAAATTTTCTTTCACTTGAAGCAGTGTCTGAAAATAAAGAATTATGACTTAATGTCTGATTGAGAAGCAAATTCTAAGTTTTCGCTAACTTTTTGAATTTTATAAATAAAAAGTTTTCTAGGAATGGTAGTAAATCCTTGATTCCCTGCTACTCAGAAACCAAAAATATCTCTACTACTATTTCAAAATCAGAAGAATCAAAGTAAGGAGACAAAAATATTAGTAGTAATTTATTGCTTACCTTCATAGGTTGCATCAATTTGAACAACCAAGCATGCTCTGAAGAAGAAAGAACAGGAGGTATTCTCATTCTTCTCCAGTCCATACTGACAAAATCAGTTGACACTGAATATTCCCTAATAAGTTCTTCAATCTTCTCAATTCTTTTCCTAGCATTTCTTTTCTTTCGTGTGGGAACGATTTCGTCCCCATCTTTGTTCCTCTTCAATGAAATCCTCTGATCAAGATTCAACCGTTTAGCTTTCTTGTTCTGGTTGCTGACCACCTTATCACCGTTTAACTCCTTTTCTTCACCATCATCAACAGTCTTCTTCCCTCTCCGGGAGACCCTTTTGATTTTACCATCTACACATTCTGCATTACCAGTATCAGAAGCAGGGCTGAGTTTGTATATATTTTCAAGCATAGCAGCAGCTTCAGTGTAGTCCACATCCGAGGAAGATGGAGAATTTTCCTCAGCAAAGGCAACTCTTTCTCTCTTAGGCAGTTTGCTAGCTTTCCCTATCTTTTTCTTCTGCGCCTTGGTAGCCTCAACGGGCACAGGGATTTTCTCTTGAGTTGTAACCAAAGCTGAGTCATTGTGTTTATCCCCTTTAAATGCCACAATTAAAGGTCTCTTCAGACGATTAGTGGAAAACTTTGTATTCAATCCCAATGGAGTCCTTGCAGCTGAGCTAGAAACAGTCACCACTCCCATACCAAGTTACCTAATAATCTGCGTTTAGAAAGAAATGGCAAATTTTCAATGCTAAGATCCCACAACATCTAAACAAAACATTAATTATATTAGCTTAGGTGCACAACTAACTGATACGTTCTCAGAATTCTCAATCAGTAAGCACATTCTCATGATTAATCTTCAACATATCTTCAAAATTTACACCAAAATGAATAACACATGGACAGGTAAATCTACCAGCCATAAAAACTTTTGCCACGGTATGATATGATGAAACAACTTTTGTGGAATCAAATGAACAAGTTAATTGACATGTGTATAAAGACAAAGAGTGAAGCAAGGATGAAGAGTACCTTTGATCAGCGAGAAGCTAATGAATCCGGAGAGAGGAATCTACAGAGAAAAGTCGCGGGTTTTGCTGTTTTTGTATTTAACGCGAAATGCGAGAATTAAGGTGACCACAGTTTTTGTCTCCGAAAAATCAACGGCCAGGAATTAGCGTGAGTAGAATGTGCGGTGCGTGATGGGAACACGTTAGTGATGACGTGGTTAAGGTGTGAAGAGGATTGTGTTTGAAGTACTTCCGTGGCGCTTTTGGAGTGGCCGAGCAGATATTTTGTGGAGCTTAAGGTTGACACGTGGATGGATGTTGCTTGAGGAGGAAAATTTTTGGCTACATTTTTGTGGAATCCAATTCAAGCGGCGTTCTATTGAATACGTAGCGCAATATCCACCATCATCCATGTCACATGCGTTGTAGCATGTGCATTTAAGTTCCAAATATATGGATGAAGGAAAAGTATTGTCTTTTTGAGTGAAAAAATGAATTTAAAAATGAAAAAAAATAATTAAATAAAATCGACAAAGAGTATATGAAATCATGCTTATCATTGTTAAGATGTGAAATCTCACTAGGAATATTAATGAAAATTATAATATATAAGCATGAGAATAATCTAGAATGAATTGTGGATAAATGTTAATGCCCATGTAATGCAAATTGATTATAAAAAAATTATATAGCGATTGATAGGGGAAATTTTGTTATCTTAACAATTATCTATTGACATAAAAATATTAGAGGTGTCATATAAAATCTAATATATAAATTAAATATATAATATTATATTATATGGATAAATATAAAAATAACCCTTTTCTTGGTGTTCCTTTGGTATAACTCAATACTTGAGTAGCAACCTGATATGAAAGGAATTGACTCAAATGGTTCACCATATAACTTGTTATTAACATTATTTTTCTATTTTAATAGGAATCAACTTGCTTCTACTTATCCCTAAAAAAATTAGAATTATCTAATTTTTATAGAAAATATTTGTATATTGATAACATTTAAAATTATTTTCTGTCTTTATAAATTTTAAGGATTTTGAATTTTGCCATTTATATATGAAATGTCACAAAGACGTATAATTAAGTTAATCAAATAAAAAAATTCACTATTGGTTATTATTTTTACTCTGTGCCAAATTAAATTTGATTTAATGATTTTGTTTAATACAAAAAACATTTTAAAACGTCAACTCGACACAAATTGTATCTATAAACTTTAGAAATAAATATTCAATTAATTATTTCTATAAATGATTTTGTCAATATAGCAAATTGTTTTGGATTTTATTTTAATTATAAAACACTTTTTTCTATTTAAACTAAAAATCCTCAGTATAAATCACACGTTATGAAGGCACCATTTCTATACTAATACACAAGTATATATGTATATAAAATAAGCAAAATACAGATTAAATACAGAGACTCAACGAAAATTTAAGAATACCTATATTTCGATAAATAATATTTATTTCAGAAAAAAGATCAATATTAATCTGGTTAGACATAATATTATATCATGTAATATCATGATTTACAAGTTTGTTAGTAGAATGATTCCCTTCTTAAAAATATTTTGGATATGTATATTCAATCTTTTATATAAATTTAAGCTCTTATATCGCTTATTTCTAATTTTTCAAGCGATCACATCTTGTAAAAAGTCTTAACCATCACGGTAGAGTCAGTTTAAATCCAAAATATAATTCAAACATTGTATTAATACATAAGACAACAGTTTCTACGTAAAAAAGAGTTACCCAAAATTGTACATAATTCACCCAAGTTTATATTTGAGAGTCTACTTACTTTAACAAAAAAAATATAAACATATTAATAACATTACTAAAATTAATTAATAAGTTCATGCAATAATAAGCCAATCAAATATAACTTTTTAAAGTGATAAAATAAATAAAATAAATATAAATATTATCAAATTTATGAAATCTAAATCCTAAACCGTCTAAAATATTTTTAAATTTTAATCTTTATATCTAAAATAACTAATATAAAAAAAATTAACCTCTATTCAACAAAATACCCAACTAAAAAGAATTAATTAAAATCTCATTCCAACCGTGTATAGCAGTGGACCACTCAGTCATTTTTTATCAACCAGAGCAACAATGATCGGCGAGAGCAATGATAACTAGTGTGACCTCTTAATGTTATTAGCATAATTTAAGATAGTACGAAGGCATATTGATCATTGAGACCTTTTAGACATAATCTTGTTACTTATAACATCGAGTAGAATCAAGAACATTTGATAGAACATTTGATAGTACATGTGCACTTAACAAATGATGAAAACTATTGATTTCCTTTCAAAAGGTACATAACTGTGTAAAATCCAGTTACAGAGAGAATACCTTGGTGTAATTTGTATAAATCTTCCTATAAATCTGCAATATGAAAAATATCTTCTTAATGAAAGCGATTGTATAAATCTTGTTAAATATCGGAAGCATGTTTGATCCAAGGAATAAATTTAAGAATGGTTTCATACACCAATAGTTGGATCCAAGAAATAATCATTGCATTGCAACAATTTTAAGGTTCGTGAAGAGAGTTGGTTGATAGTGGTTCAGAGATAGTATCATCAACGAATTTCAGCTTATTCTTGGATTTGAGCGCAAGTTTCATGGCACGAACCCATGCGTGATAATTCTTGTCTTCTAACAAGGTGTAGATAAGAACGAGAGTAGGGTTTTTATTGGAGGGAAGAAAGAAAGGATTTGAAGGATTAGTGTGAAAGTCAATATAGGGTTTGAACATCATAGGAATGGAGGAAGAAATCAAGAAATAGTATTTGATATCATTTTACTATTCATATATGTACGACCAAATTCATCTGTTTTTATTAAGAGTTTCTCAACTAGAAAGGAGTATAAGCGATATATATATATATATATATATATATATATATATATATATATATATATATATATATATAACTTCGTAGATCGAAAAGAAAAAATCATGTCATAACTAAAAATAATACAAAAAAGAAAAACAAGTATTTGTTATAAAAAATTAATTATGTTAATAGATCAATAATGACTTCAATGGCGACCAACTCGTGATTAGTGACCAACGAATAGTGGAGCATAGCAACTATGACAACTAGTGGAACATAACGATGATAATTAGCAGAGCGCAATAACGACTAACGGAGTACAACAATGAATAATGAGAAGGAATAAGGAGTGAGAGATCTAATATTTAAATGTGAGAAGAGATGAGGAATATGAACAAATGTAACTTGTAAGTGTTTCTTTTCTTCTAAATTCGATGATTCATCTCCGAGTTTGCTTAGAATTTATTAAGTCTACCAAATTTGAATTTGAGTTTATTTTAAAATAAGTTTACTTAACGCATGATCAATTACTAGACTCTTATAAACGTGAGAGTAAGATAATTAATTCATGTTTGTCAAAAACCTAAAAATTCATTAAGTGAGTCATAGAAGATGCCACCCTCGCAACTAAGAGAAGAAGACCTCTTGGGTCTCGTCAAAATCACTGGTATGAACATGAATATCTATGTTAAAAGTGAAACATTCTAAAGGCTCACATTTATAATAATTAATGGATCTTAGCCTAGCTAACTTTCTAATACTGCAAACAAATATGTAATATCTAAATGACAGGGAAAAAAAAGTTGAATGACATTACAACACAATAAAGTAACTTGATTATAGGAAAGTGGCGAACAAAATAAAGTGAAGAAAAAGAATATGTAAGTAAAGAAAGTAAGGACGTGGCATAAAAGACCAACAGTTTAAGCCAAATAGCAGAGGTGAAAAGGCCTTAAAAATAAAAATGTCAGCAACATTTATTTCCTACATGGTATCAATTATGCAAATAATATCATTATATATATCTTGTTAATTTCACAATACTTTAAGGCATGAACATGAATCTTCTCTATATAAGTTTAAAAGGACAAAATTAATATTGATACGTATAGTTTTGTATTAAGTTCTATTGAATCCATTATCCAATTGTTATGAAGTTGTTTTTATCTTTTTGTTGGATGGTTCAGTAGTCACAAGCATATTTCCATTTTCTAATGCAACATTACGGGGTTATTATTGTTGGTACAATTGTAGTAGTACTTGAGATTTTTTTTTATCAAAATCATGATTTTTATTCTATTAGAGTTACGTTTCATTGATTTATTTATCATCATCACTAAATTTTTTTATTCATTTCTAATTCTCTATACTTTCTTTCTTAATTTTTTGCTTTATCTTTTTTAAGAATAATTTGGACAATATTTATAAACATATTATTATTTATTATGTTAATGATTGATAAGTATTAAAAATCATTAACAATTAATTATTTTAAATATAAATCATAAATTCTTTTAGTCAGATTTTTTAAAACATTCGTGAAGGCAAAACAATCTATTTTTTTATTGAGTCAACTTTTAACATACCAAATGTAGGACAATTTTCATGTTAGCAAGAATCACTTGTTTAATAAAAAATTTCAGCATGAATAGATAGGTTATATATTTTTTTTAATTGAATGAAAATTATTTGATTGAGTGACAATACTCTAAAAGAATTATATTGGTTTCAACATCAATTTTGCTTGGGTGAGATTACTTGTTTAAACGAAAATACCTTTCTTTATTATGAAGTATTTTCT